ACGCAGCAGATTTCCTTGAACAGGGCTTTGTTTGCGTTGCTCGCCCATGGTCGAGCCGTCCGTCTATGATGAGCTTCAGGGCACGATCGACTTGGTGACGCCGTCAAAGAAGCGTAGGGCGTCTTCCGCTGACTCCACAGCTTCTGTTGCCGGCTCCGTGTGGGGTGCTGAGCCTACGACGGCTGCTGTACTGGCTTTGCAGCACGGCGCTCAAGACCGAGCTCATGTTTTGGTTTTGGGTTGTAGTTTGGTGACGGGGCCTGGAAAGTATAGGTCTATGCTTAGGAACGCAGCTGCTGGGCAGGTCGTGGGGCAACTTCAAAAGTTGCGTGCCCAAACAAGCGGTCAGTAAAAAGCTTCGCTGCGATGGGTTCGAGCCACGTGCTGAACTACGTGTGGCAAAGCTTGCGACGCAAGGCCACAGGCGCTAGCAAGCTCCTAAGCCAGCTTGGACGGCTTGCGAAAGCTGCGTGAACGAAAACGCCGTTTTCGCCATAGGCCCCGGCCTGCTCAATATGTTCGAAACTATGGTAAAATGCTCAAAATCAGACGTCGGAGGGGTACCTGACAGTGTTTTGGCTCCCTGAAATTACAGCCCTGTTTGTGCAGATCAGCATTTTTCCATAGTTTCGCGCGCATGGACCTCAGATCACATGATTGGAAATGTGCTTAAACACAGGGGCCTGTGCGGGCGCCGTAACCAAAAACATGCACCGTACAAGGCTCAGCTCTGAGCGGGATTTGAAGACTGAGGATGTTTGCTTGCCAAATTTTCTTTTTGACTAGAGGGTTTGGCTGTTCTTGGCCCTGAGCTGAAAAGCTTTTCTTGAGTCGACTCCACGTAGTAGCGCGAGTACTACTGGCAAAGCTCAGCGCCCAGGCTTGAATGCAGAAGTGCTACAGGTCGAAGCGAAGGCCAGGCTTTTGTCGTGAACATCTTTGTAAGCTGAAGCTCAAGGACCATAGATGGTTGGAGGATGTGACCGAGGATTCCTTGATGTAGGACGCAGAAAGATCCCCTGCATGGCTCAATCGTTTTTGACGACCTGGGCATTCCATAAGCTAAATCCATGCAGTCGGCAACGACTAGGGGTTGTTTGAGACATGGAGTTGCAATCTGATCGAGATATTCCAGGTAGATGATTGAACGTGCAAACGTGATAAACTTGAGGATACGTGCCTACCATCGACGCAGAGATCATTAGGAATTTATGGCCTGGCGCCTGTGATTATAAGTTGAGCGCTTGCGTATCTTGGCTACTCACATTGTCGGCGGGCTTGGGAGATGCCCCCGGCTGACCAGCCTCTGGCAATGGATGCGCAAGAAGCTTTACACTGGCGCATCGGTACAGCCCGCAAAGATTAAAGCTTCGACTGGCCTTAATCATCAAGAAAACATGCAGTCCGCAAAAGCAACGTTGCTTCTTTGGCGGATGCTTCTGCCTGGCTCAGCTGCAACTCTGTCTTCGCATGTTGAAGATGTGGGGCAAGTGATGATGCGCCCTGAGGAAGAGCAGTTGTTGTTCACGTATCTGGGACAAGCACGGACTTTCTTTGAGTTTGGTGTCGGTGCCTCAACACTGCAGATAGCCAGCAGAACCCCTCATCTTGAAAGACAGGTTGGGGTGGATCTTGACAAGCGCTGGATCGATCGCGTTCGGAAGCACACCTGGCTTCGTAATGGATCGCTGCCAGCGACCCAAAGAATCAAGCTGCTTTATGTTCACATTGGCAAAACATCCTCGTTTGGATACCCTGTTGAGAATGCCAGCCGTTGCAAGCGGCTGGAGCGTTTTTGCCGTGTAGTGGCTGGGCCAGAAGCAGGCTCAGAATGCAACAAGTCGACCCAATGCATGAATGGACTGGTTGGAAGGCGGAACTGGTGGCCAGCTTTCAGTGAAGCGGTGCTGGATGCAACCAAACGCTATCGCCACGGATGGGATGCTGTGCTGGTCGACTCTCGCTTCCGCACAGCCTGCGCTCTAAAAAGTTTTTTTGCCACTAGACAGGAGCATATTTCTAGATCTGTGGTTATGGTCCACGACTACGCGCGGCGAAAGCATCTTTATGGCGAGATCGAACGCTTTGCCAAGCTTGAGGTAATGACTGGCAGTTTGGCTGTTTTTCGGAAGAAGCATGATGTGGATCCGATCATTTTGCAGCGTACTATCCGCGCTTACGAGTACGATCCATCCTGAGACTTCGTCACGGCTGATCATTGTGTTATACGGTGTCTAGGACGGAGGTGCAATGGACATTTTGGGATGGGGGTCTTGGGCATTATCCGTCTTTGTCAAGTGCTTCACACAGCTCTAGCTTCACCACCGAAAAACGGCTTCTCCAAGTCTCAGGATTGTTTTTTTAATGGTGCCCTCGCGAGTACACTCCGTTCCGTGTTTTTGCGAAGGAAGTAGTTTACTTGTTTCGAGGATGGAGCAGTTGAGCACGCTGCGGGATGCCTCTTGGGTCCTCACTAATTCCCCAGCTCCGTTCGGGTAAGTCTTGCGCCATGGATATGTGCAGTTGCTTGAGTTGCTTCCCCCTCCATCTCGGCAGGCAAGGGACAGCTTTGGCTTGCGCTGGCGCTCGCCGGAAGGCTCTCTGCACGAAGAAGGCCACGAATTGAGACCATGAGTTCAGATACTACTCATGCACAAGACGCAGCTGACATAGCCGCGGCCATGGGGACTGTAGATAGAGCGATCCTTTGCAATCAGCCGCTGATCTTGCTCCACAGTTGTGATTGTCATAGGTTCCACATAATCACGGCCCTTGCTCCTTGGAAACCTGTAACGAACATCAAACCGAAACTCAAGGGAATGATTTAAGTCCACCCGTGCGAAGCCCACAAAACCCCAAGCAGCCTACCGCCAGGCCCCTTCGCAGCAGTTCCTTGGCCTTTATTATTAACTACTATAATTGGTTTTACTACTAGTAGTACTACTACTATAGTCATGACTATGATTACTACCACTGTTGGCCCTTTGAAGACTTGGACGAGATGTTTGGATGTTCCCTCCCGTCTTTCTGCAAGTCTGAGATCAGGGAAGATTTTTTGCTTGAGTGGAAATCTCCTGCAGAGGAAACTGGGGTGGGCTAACACTGGCCATGGCTCATACATAGCCCAACCTGCTGTTTCAGTTCCAGTAGAAGAGTCTCCCAACCATCATCAATTTTGTGGTATGACTTGAGCCAGTAAGCCTCTCCAGAAGAAGCAACGCCTGGGGAAGGTCGGCACTGCCGAAGTGGTACGTGACTTTTCCTTCATCAGCACACTGGCCTACACCAACACAACACTGTTCTGAAGCAGAATAACAGGGTGCTGAAGAGCACCACAAAGATCCAATTATTGACTACAGCTTTGTTTTTTTGCGGCATGCTTTGGCTCAGTATTCGCAACGCTCATAGAGCGCCATCATCCTAAGACATGTGTAGGTCATCAGCGCAGCAGATCAAAAGGTCAAAAGTAGTTAGGCATACGAAGCCATGCCACAGTCAAAAACACTTCCACTATGCCTGAAAGATCCTGAAGGGATACTTGTGGCAATTCTGGGCCAGCTTATCAAAGCCTAAATTGACTCCACCTGAGCACTTGCCAGAGTGTTGTCTGGCTGTCAGGTAATGGTCTATCCAGGTTTTCTGCCCAAGCTGCGGGACGAATGCCTACCCGAGGCCATGCTCAGCTATGATTGGTATGACATCGGTCATGAACTTACCAACGCTCATCCACCATCTAGGAATGGCTACTAGCCTTCCAAATCAAGTGGTTTCCAATCTACGAGACACACTCTGTAGACTAACCCCTAAGCGCAACACCTACTGGCAGGAAAGCTGCTTCCAGGGTCGCATCGCTCTTGGTGTGGCTGACGACCTCTCAGACTGGATGGATTGGAGGTACCACTTTAGTCTTGTTTGGTTGACATTCTGCTCTTGGGGGACTGCAGTCACTACAGTCGAGCTACAAGATGATCCCAGGTAACAGCCGTTAAATACATTCCGAAGAGAGTTGTATCGTGGGAGAGCCCACTAGAAGCATGCACGCCTTTCTGGCTGTAGCTCGTTGGTTCCCAGCACATCTACAATTCAATCTACCCCAAAACGGTGCCCATGACATTCAGCAGGCACCTGTAACCGGGACAAGCTTCTACTTCAGTATTTTTCAATGTAACGAAGAGAGGCAGCCAAGCCTTGGAATGGCAAACAATGCATCTTGGATAGAACTTGCAGAGATTTTTGCATGGGGCGTCAGCCCTATCCTCAGGCAACTGATTTCTCCATCGAGCAGACTCAGATTTTTAGACGGGCGCGAACTCTTGCTCTCATGCTTGAAGGATGCATCCCCAGACACTGACTTCACCCAAATGTTAAGACTGTTAAGAGTTGAGACGGTTTTGGTGCATACGATTTTGGGGTTCTCTGAATTTCAAGTGTTTCTTCTGCATTTGCGGCCACACGAACGTAGCCCCCGCAGGCTGGTCTGCAAGTTGCGTGCCGCCAACCCGTGAACGGTAGACTGCATGAGAGGCAAGTGCTGATCCTGGGCCACGGGGCCTTCGCAGTGGAGACGGCCCGGACCGCCGTGGAGGTGGAATTGGGGGATTCCTGCATTGGTTGCAGGCAGCTATTTCTGCCGTTTCCCCTTGTTAGGAAGGGGTCTAGCGGGATGTGTAGCAAGCTGCAGAAGAGTCTACCCGCATGCTGGCAAGTAAAAAGACATGTGCCCAGGATGTTCAAAGTCAGAAGCCGAGTGTACCGAATCCATCTTCTTACTCGTTGCTCAAGCTCCCGTAGCCGCTCGAACATGCATCGTCATCCAAACACCTCCTGAACATTCCGCTCGCTGCCCTTCCCCGCTGTACTGAACAGTTTAGTTGAAAGCATTCCAGAAGTTGGTTCATCTTATGTCTTCAATGGAGCTATGCAACGATGAAGGGAGAGGTATTCTTGAACATAAGGGAGAAGTGATCCATCACCATAAGGTCTCAATGTGCTTCTCAAAGATCCGTACAGGCAGGGGCGTCTTCCGTCACGATGCTCTGCCGCAGGCCCTGTGGATGGACCAAAATACGCTGAGACATCAGAATCCTTCGAAAGCGTACCGGCATTTTGGGGGCTTGAGACTGCAGGCCACAGCGGCTAGTTCCGCAAAGGTTCTTGAGCCGATGTGTGCAGGCTGTCTACGATTGCAAGCAGGGTTTCACCTCGTTTATTTGTGACTCCTAAACATGCAAAGTCACGGTTTCCTGCACAGAAAGCTTGACATGATCTTCAAAGCATCAGGAAAGATCAGGAGCAATGATGCAATTGCAGGCTGCTGTGATCCCAAATAGGCGGTAGGCCATCAGCGGCACGATTCGCATCTAGAAGCAGGGGTTGCTCTGGAGTCTGAATACGAGAGCTCTTCAACGATGTCCATGTGTTAACTTGCCACTACCACAGAAGTGCCACTTTCTGAAGCCCTGATCGCTGACCTGGCTTCAGGCGAAACCTGGTCCTTCCTCGAGCCGCAACCTTGGCTTTCGCAGTATCGTCAAACAGGCGTCAAAACGACAACCACCTTTAGATCATGCCTTGAGCACAAGAGCGAATACGACTGCCACTTGCAAGAGACATGGGACCCCAGTAGACCGAGGGAGTTCTGTCGCTCCAGCACTGAGCATCCTGAGCCCCATAGAAATGATTCAGAAGGAGCAGTGACCAGGCCCGACAAGGCCTTTCGTCTTGCTGAGAAGTAGGTTCTCTGCATGCAGCTCCGCGCGGACCCAGATCTGTTGGCAAAGTCTCCGCACGCTGCGAATCTGGATACTGATCATCATTTCATGCGGTGAGGCACTTCAGCCAGGGCTTATGAAGCCTGGCCTCACACCCACAACAACTGGACTTGTGCAGTTCCATCAGTGTATATCAGCGTCAAAGGAAGAAGTCACAGTGAGGTTCAACGGCCGGTATCCTATTCCTGTAGTGTCCAAGCCTTGACCCTCAGGTTGTTGCCTGGTTGGTAGACGGCAGTGGGCCAGGTGGAGTCCGGTTCCCAGCAACGAACGGCCAGGGGTCAGTAGCAGATTGGCCATTGTATTTGTTTCGTTGCCATGCCTAGCAATTGTTTATCGGTTATCGCATCGAATATTTTGCAAACAGCTGGGGCCAAGCAGGTCGTCCTGACCCCCATCCCCGTAGCTGCGACCGCTTGTCCTCCTGCCTTTGCTCGCAAATGCGCTTTCAGCTTGAAATCCACGCACGCTTGTGATGCTGCTAGCACTAATCTCTTTGACCACCTCCTCCTCATGCTGCTGCTAGCGTCCATTGCAGAACAGAGGGTGAACAAGGTTTAGGATTGAGAGTTTCGGATCTTCACCGGCGATCGGGGAGTAGAATGGAGGGATGGAGTTTAGAAGACTCCAAGATCCACGCCAGACTGCCACTCCATCCCGCAGGAGCCTATTTAGCCTACTTCTCTTGGCCAAGAGCTACTTGGTAGGGTCACAATACCCCAATAATAGAGAATCAAATGGAAAATGAAATGGAAACACGGCACTCCATGGTGCCAAGGAGCTTGGAATGGACACCTTGCTGGGCCTTGTCCAGCCCATGTATGGCATCATGGGCTGGTCTGCTCAGCAGACGGAGAATGCCTTGAGCAGGCAGGGGTGTGGTGGCTAGCTACGCGATCCTTAGGGTTATTTATTGCTTGAGGACTTGTGACGGTTTCAACCTTTTCCCTGGCAGTCATAGATGTGCTTGGGAGGCTTTGGGGTTCTTCCGGCCTGGTTCTGGTGCAAACATACATGCACTGGGGGAGCTGTGGCCTCGGAGGAGCCTCCTCCCCGATGCGAGAGGACGGATCATGTCGCCTCTTGGACTCTCATAGTCGGGCCTGCACCCAAGTCGTCGTATGAGGGGACAGAATCTAGGCAGTCCTGGCACTCACCCGCTGCACGTTTGGGCTTGCAAGCTTTCATGCAGGTCTGCTGTGCAACACTATGGAAGGAACCCTTGCTTTAGAGGGTCTGCTGATGTGAATCGCATTTTGCAAACGCCCGCTTTCTGACCCTGAGCCTTGACTCATCTGAGGCAGTCCAACCCTGCCATCTCAGATGTCTACTTTCTCCTGCAGGCGCTACTCATCCTTCGGCGTGTTGAACGTTGTTAGAGCAAAATTCTGGTGTTTGCTGCTCAAAGCTCAGAAGATGCTTCCTCC